GGAGCTAAAAAAGAAAGAATAAGACAGTTATTAAAACCTACTATGTACAAGCCCTGTTCTGGATGCTTTAAATATATACCTAATACAATCCTCAAAATAACCAGAAAAGGTGGGGATCGTGCTGTCATTTCATGAATAAGGAAAATGAGGAAGTAGACAGCTTAGGAAACTCAGGACTGATGGACAGAAAGTCCCAGGTAATGTACAGAGTAATTGTATGCCTCGGGTGTCATTTACAAAATGTGCTATAGAACTACATAGTAGACTTTTAATTATCCACATATATTTTCTAAACTCCAACTATTAGGCCTAATGAAAAGACAAAAATCTATATTTGAACTGTTAACATGACTTTATATTTTTTACAGAGCCACATCTAGCTAGACAAACTAACAGAAATAGAGCTATGGAGAAAACTACAGAAGGATACATTGCAGGTAATTTATAAGTCAGGGAAGCCCAGTTTACAAGCATAATGGGGAGAAATAGGCTAACAAGAGTAGAGATACAACTAATCATAATAGTAATAACAATTTTTTGAAAAGTATATATTTCATTTTTGTAAAATTATGCTTCCCTTTAAATAAAGAAATTTTGAAAAATCCAATTAGAACCATATCTATTATTACAAGGTTGTCCATGTTACACTCTCAAATTAAAAAAGTGAAAGTTAAAAGTTGCTCAATTGTGTCCAACTCTTTGCAACCCTATGGACTGTAGTCTGTGGAATTCTTCAGGCCAGAATACTGGAGTAGGTAGCCGTCCCCTTCTCCAGGGGATCTTCCCAACCCAGGGATCAAACCCAGGTCTCCTGCACTGCAGGCAGATTCTTTACCAAACAAAAAAAAGGAAATTGTAAATTCTCTATTATAAAAACAAAATGTTTTACTCTGTGTGTGTATGTATATATAATATATTAATAAAGGGGAAGGTGTAGAAGGCCAAAAATCAACCTAATCTTAACTTGGGTCACCTGAAGGTGACTGCATGTGTGCATGCTCAGTCACTTCAGTCGTGTCCAACTCTTTGTGACCCCATGGACTGCAGCTTGCCAGCTCCTCTGTCCAGGGGATTTTCCCAGCAAGAATACTGGAGTGTATTGCCATGACCCCTCCAGGGGATCTTCCTGACCCAGGGATCGAACCCATGTCTCCTGCACTGCCGGCATAGTCTTTGTCCACTGAGCCACCTGGGAAGCCCTGAAGGTGACTGGAGACATTTAAAGATTTGTGGAACACTGGACTCAAGCTACTACTGGTGACTTTATTTTTTGTATTCTCTCTCCTTGATACCTGTTCTCTTATTCACCTGGGGCTTATTCGCTCAGAAGCTTATCTCCCGGTGTGATCATTAGTCCTTGCCCCAGCTTTCTCTGAACCAAACCAACTTTCTCTAGCATGGCTGAGAGAATGTGGGCACTGACCAACCACCAAGTTGGAGAAATGTCTCTGCAGTGTCTCACAGGCTTGAGGTTTTCCTGGTAAGGGGTTGTAGTGTGTGGTCATGTTTCTAAAAGGGACAGCCCCAGAATCCGGACTGGGATTGCAGGCCAAAGGAGCAGTAGGAGAGTCAGATGGAGAGTGGGTCAAGTTTCTGGTCATACCCTATTGCCAAATCAAACTTCAAATATTATTCCCCCTGTTCTAGGGAAGGCAAAACTCCATGAATATAATGGGTCCTCATTTTCCTACCACAATCTTAGTCTACATATAATGATTACAATACAAGAACGCACACCATGTTCTTTTGGTAAAGAATTTGGCATATTGTCAATTCTTGACAGATTATAGCACTAACATTGCTTCCAGCAAAATATGTCCCAAGAGTTCAGTAGGTTTTTTTATGTGAATGGAAGTCATCACTGGGTATTCATAAGACTATCCAAGCTGGAATATTTTAAACGCCAGAAATTATACTTCAGAGAGACATGAAACATCATTTTAAAATCCATCTATATTAATACAGATTATGTGTTTCTACATCATTAAAGATACATCAAAAATTATGTATTTGTGGACCTCAATAGCTCTCATCCTCCCTCTCATATCTCTGACTCATTATGTTTTCATATAACATAGATAGTTCTTTATGCTACTATTTTTAATGACTTCTTAGAAATAAACTGACAATGTCAATAAACAAGTAAAATATATAGTATAGTATGTCAGGTGATGATCAGCACTATGGAAGAAAATGAGAGGGAGAGAGAGTGCCACCAGTGGGGTGAAGGCTGCAATTGTATAGTGTGGAGTCAGGGAAGGCCTTGCTGAAAAGACAGCATTTGAGCAAAGTGCTGAAAGAGGTGAAGGGTACAAGTCATGTGAACGCCTAAGAGAAAGAATGTGGAGGCTGAAGGTTCAGCATATGCAGAGGTCCTGAGTCTGACCTCTCCAACATCATCTCCCCATACTCTGCACCTCCCTCACTTCATGCCAACCAAACACTGGTCTCCTTGCTGTTGCTCACATACAAGCTGGTGAATGGAGAGTGAGGAATTTGGGAGGCAGCACAGACCAGGAGAAGCTCCTCTGAAGTGGCCTTCCTCTCAAATTTAAAAACAACCCAGCATCAAATGACTGAGAGTGATATTGGGCAAACAAACACTCCTCTTGAGCAACAATGTCCAACAGAACTTTCTGCAATGATGAGAATGTTCTCTATCTGTGCTGTCCAGTAAGTGGCTAGTATGGCTGAGGAACTGAAGTTTTAATTTTACCTTAATTATTTTAAAATTGAAATAGTCAAATGTAGCTAGTGGCTATACTACCAGCCAGCAAATTTCTAGAATAAAGGTAGGCCTTGGGAACACAGAAATTTATCACTGACAGACACTTTACTTCCAAGAAAAAAGATACATTTCATTTAATTTGCTGAAGTTCAAGTTGGTCTAATGAGAATTTCATGATTAAATACAGCAATTATGATAGCTTTACTCATCACAAAACATATGTATGAAGCATTATTTACCATGTAATTCTTTGGCTACTGTGTGGGAAAAATTACTGTTATTACCTTTTCTTAACTCAGCTTTAGTGTTTCCCTCTACATGATTTATTATTGCTGAAGTAATAGTTAAGAATTTTTAAAATCTATTTTTAATTGAACTGGGTTTCCTAACAAGTTTTTTCCTCTCAATTTGATTTTTCTTCAGGTGACACACACATATGCAAATTTAAGAATATGAAGAAATATAATGAATAGGATGTTGTGAAATAAGTTCTATATTCAATGTATTGTTAAATTTTAACTAAACAGAATCAAAGATTCTGATTAGAACAATGGCTTAAAAGATTTTCTTTTCTACAAAATAGGAAACATGAGATACACTAATTATTTTAAGAGATACGCAAGGCTAGTCTTTAAAGACTAAACTATAGTCTTTAAAAACTATATTCAACTTAGAAACTATGGTTTCTAAAAAAAGGCATGTACTGTGCTTAGTCACTCAGTCGTGTCTGACTCTTTGCATCCCCATGGACTGTAGCTCGCCAGGCTCCTCTGTCCATGGGGATTCTCCATGCAAAAATACTGGAGTGGGTTGCCATGTCCTCTTCCACGGGATCTTCCCAACCCCAGGATCGAACCCAAGTCTCCTGCATTGCAGGCGGATTCTTTACTGTCTGAGCCACCAGAGAAGCCCATGAAAAGCATGTATATATGTACACACACATATATGTGTATGTATGCATACATTATATATACACACACACACAAAACACATCACTATTAAAGCTAGTAAGAAAACTTTTAAAATTTCTATGTTAAATCAACAGCACTCAGAGACGATGAAAGCCAGTTACTAAAAAATTTATTGCTTAGTTAAAACTCAGTTTACAATTCAAAGGATTTTTAAAATCTCTGAGCTGTTATGAAGCTTTATGGGGTTTATAGTGGAGATGAAAACAGAAATAAAAAGATCTGACAAACAGAAAATGCCAAAGATATTTCCAGCATTATCAACATGGATTCTTTTTTCTCTATCATTACGTTTTACCTTATTCCCAGAAAACTGACTTTAACTCCATCTGCCTGAAAAGACAACTGCTTCCTGGGGCCCCTTTCAAAATTAAAAGTGTTTGACAGGCAATTTTATTTGAAAGAATATTATTTCTATAATTGTTAAAAATAAGAAGAATGTAAACTCTATGAAGGCAGAAATTTTGGATAATCTACAGTAGTTCCAGTCTTCAGAATAGTGCCTGAATACAGTAAAGATAATAAATACTTACTGAATTAATAATTTTACCAGCACCTTTTAGTAAAATGAGATAATCAACTTTTCCTATAACATTAGTGTAGATTTTCATTTTAACATTGGTAATCTAGAATAATTCCACTTAAAAATTCTTGTTTTACCATCTATACATGCAACAAAGCCCTTTTCAAAGCTTATTGGTAATACACAGAATTAGCCAAAGACTATTCATTATTTTATTCATTCTTTCTGTGGTTATAGAATTCTATGATCCCTTTCAATTTCAACATTTATTTTATTCTAATAATGACCTAAAACTGAAAAAAAATCTGAAACTTATTCAAATGGAATGTCATGGAATGTCAAACCATTATTTAAATTACTACAGAAGTAACTGCTCAACAATTTATGGATCACCCTGGTTATTCACGGTTTTCTCACCTCTTTTAAAGGGTATTTTCCAGTTCTCTGCTTAGTCTTGTTTTATATTACTGTCAAATTCTTCACTTACAAAACCAAGTATATTGAAATGTCATAAAATAAACCACACTATATTTTTTACACTTTATACCAAAAGATTGAGTTTATGTTAAAAAACAAAATCTAATACACATTGGAAAATACTGAGCTGGAATGTTTGCTAAAATGCTGTTTATTGCAGAGGCCCAATGTTTTATCAACTAACACTGAAGTTTAAATTAGGGCTAAACTCAGGAAATTGACCTTCATAATATTTTAACATGATGTTTGTCTTTCTAAGGTGGCTTTCTTCTCAGAAAAGAGTACTTAAGTATCCTTGACTTACTGTCATATTTCGGTCCCAGATCTGTATGCTTCCATTCTGGCAAGCGGCTGCTATGAGGTTTCCATCTCTACTGTAAGTGCACGTGGTAGGAATCACTTTTTTACCCTGCATCGTCCGCGGTTTAAACACACTTTTTTGCTTCTTCGGATTTTCAACTTCCCAGGTCCTCACAGTCCTTAAAAAAAGAAAAAAAGAGAGATTTTCATTTATAAAAAAGAAAGGGTTTTAAAATACAAAAGAGTTCACAAAGACCACCTGAACTTTTAAGCATATAAATCTAGTTAGTGTTTTTTACATTTTTAAAATAAAATGTGCAGTATGTAAATGAGGTTTCCCACTACAATAAAGTCAACCATCCAAATTGTGTTGTCATGAAATCAAATCGCAAGTGGCAAATTCTACTTCAAATGTCAGAGTTCTTAGTTCTGACCCTCTAAAGCAGTAGTTTTCAATCAACTCTGACTATACACTCTGATCAGTAGAACTATTGAACATAATATACCCCTTACATATACAGGTTAGTTTTTAAATTACATGTGTTAGTATACTGTTACATAACACACACCAGAAAATATACTGAAAAAAACTGGTCAGTAAAAAAGAATGATGTGGGACTTCCCTAGCCAAGACAGGAAAAGATAATTTAAAAGAACAGTGGGATAAATATAAATATAAAACACATAGCAACATGGTAGGTTTAAATCCAACCTCATCAATAACTGGAAATTCCATTACATTAATTGGAAATGGCATAAAACCTCTAATTAAAAGGAAAAGACTATCAGATTGGATTAGATAAAAACTAAAATTCAGCAGTCTATATTTATATATATATATATAAATATATAAAAATGTGTGTTTATATATGAAAAACACACAAAAATACTTAAATATAAAGACTTATTATCCATCTACAGTAAAAGGATGGAAAAAAGATGTACCATAACATAATCAAAAGAAAGCTAGAATGAGTATATTAATGTCAAAGTGAACCTGAAAACAATGAATAAAACCAGAGACAAAGAGGAAATTTTCATTATGAAAAAGAGTCAAATGATCAAGAAGATATAAGAAACAAAATATTAAGAAGATATAAGAATCCTAAAGGCATATCTCCCTAACAACAGAGCTTCAAAATGTGAAAGCAAACTTAATAGAAATACCAAATCCATACTTAACAGTTGTACACTTCAACACTCATCTCTCAGTAACTAATCAAACAAGTAGACCTCCCCTCACCTCAAAAAGAAAAAATCAGTAAGACTACAGAAGACCTCAGAAACTACCAGACAAGTTGAGCTAATTAACATTTATATAACACTTCACCCAACAACTGGATGTGTATTCTTTTACACATTGAACATTCACCAAGATAGACGACATTCTGAGCCATTAAAACAAATCTAAACACACTAAAATGAAAGAAATAAAAAAGTATATACACTGTCCAAAAAATGAAACTAAATAAGTGATCAATACAGAAATGTATCTGGAAATATTCTCTTCCAAAACATTCAGAAATTAATAAATACAATTCTAAATAATCCATGAGTCAAAAGTTCACAAGGAATATTAGATAACCCTCTGACTTCAAAAAACAAGAAAATACAATATATCGAAATTCCTGGTATTTGACTAAGACTGAGCACAGGAAAAAGAAGAAAAGACATGCCTCAAATCAATGATCTAAAATTCAAACTAGAAAAAGGAGAGAATATTAAAACCAAAACTAGCAGAAGGGAGGAAATGAGAATACAAATGAATAAAATAGAAAACCGCAAATCAGTAGAGAAACCAAAAGCTTGTTGAGAAGATCAATAAAATTAAAAAATTTCCAGGTGGAATGATTAAAAAGCAAAAATTAGAGACAACACCAGTATCTTGAATGAAAGAAAAGATATAACTGTAGAGCTCATCAATATTCAAAGAATAATAGGGAAATGTTATGAATGAATTTACATAAATAAATTCAATAATTCACATCAAATGGACAAATTTCCTTAAAAGACAAACCAGCAAAGTTCGCTCAATATGAAATAATATCTAGAATATTTCTATATGATTAAAAAAACTTAGCACATAGTTGAAAATCTTTCCACTAAAAATGACTTCACTGTTGAATTCTATCAAACATTTAAGAAAGAAATTAACACCTTAAGAAAGAAAAGGCCACCTACTGAATAGGAAAAAGTTTTTGCAAAGATGTATCGGATAAGGGATTAATATCCAAACTATACAAAGAACTCATGCAACTCAATACTGAAAAAACAAACAACCTGATTAAAAAATGGGAAGAAGATATGAATAGACATTTTTCCAAAGAAAATATATAGATGGCCAACAGAAAAATGAAAAGATGCTTAACATCAGGGAAATGCAAATCAAAACCACAATAAGATATTACATCACATCTATAAGAAAGGCTATTATCAAAAAGACAACAAGGGCTTCTCTGGTGGCTCAGTGGTAAAGAAGCTGTCTGCCAATGCAGGAGACGCAGGTTCAATCCCTGATCCAGGAAGATCCCACATGACACAGGACAACTAAGCCTGTGTGCCACAACTACTGAGCCTGTGTGCTACAGTCTGGGAGTAGCAACTACTGAGCCCACAAGCCCTAGAGCCTGTAACAAAAAAAAAAGCCACTGCAACAGGAAGCTGCACACCACAACTAGAGAATAGCCCCCACTCGCTGCAACTAGAGAAAGCCCACACAACAATGAGCAATGAAGACCCAGCACAGCCAAAAGTAAACATTAACATAATAATAATAATAACAAGCGTTAGCAAGGATGTAGAAAAAAAGGAATCCTTTTGCACTGTTGGTGGGAAAATAAACTGGTGCAGCCACTGTGGAAAACGTATGGAGATTCCTCAAAAAATTAAAAACAGAACTACCATAGAATCCAGAAATCCCACTCCTGGTTATTTATCTGAAGAAAAAGAAAACACTAACTTGAAAAGATATATGCACTCTTATGTTCCCATTGGTCACATATGTTTGTGACAGCTGAACTGTAAAGAAGGCAGAGCACCAAAGAACTGATGCCTACCAACTGTGGTGCTGGAGAAGACTCCTGAACGTTCCTTGGACAGCAATGAGATCAAACTAGTCAATCTCAAGGGAAATCAACCCTGAATACTCCTTGGAAGGACTGATGCTGAAGCTGGAGCTCCAGTATTTTGTTCATCTGATGGGAACAGCCGACTCACTGGGAAGTCCCTGATGCTGGGAAAGATTGGAGGCAGAAAGAGAAGAGGGTGTCAGAGGATGAGATGGCTGGATGGCATCACCGATACAATGGACATGAACTGGGGCAAACTTCAGGAGGTGATTAGGGACAGGGAGGTTTCATTGCTGCAGTCCATGGGTCACAAAATATTGGACACAACTGGGTGACTGAACAACAACAATGTTCACTGCAGCATTATCTACAATTGACAAGATATGGAAACAACCCAAGTGCCCATCAACAGATGAATGGATGAAGAAGATACGTGTAAACACACACATATATACATACAGACAATGGAACAGTACACACATACCCACACATATACACACATATACACATGCATGCAGTGTAAGTACACACACACACACACACACACACAATGGAACAGTACACCCACACCCACACATATACACACATACACACATACATGCAGTGTAATGTATGTACACACACACTCACACATATATACACATACAACTGAACAGTATACACATACCCACACATATATACACACACATACATACAATGGAACATTACACACACATAGACACACATACAAACATACATTCATACAAAGGGAACATTACTCAGCCATGAAAAAAATGAAATCTTGCCATTTGCAACAGCATGAATAGACCTAGAGGATATTATGCTAAGTGAAATAAGAGAAAGACAAACACTGTATAATTTCACTTACATGTGGAACTTAAAAAACAAAACAAATGAACAAAAGCAAGAAAACAGAAACAGAGTCATAATATAGAGAAGAAACTGGTGTTTGCCAGAAGGGAGGAAGTGGGGGTAGGAGACAAATAGGTGAGGGAGATTAAGAGATAAAAACTTCCTAAGTCAGAAAGAGAAAGAAATATACCATATGCTATCATTTTATGTGGAATCTAAAATATGACACAAATGAATTTACCTACAAAACAGAAACAGACTCACAGACATAGCCAACAGACATGTGGTTGCCAAGAGGGTCTGGGGGTGGGGAGGTGATGGATGAGCAGATGCAAACTATTATATAGAGAATGGATAAACAACAAGGTCCTACTGTATAGCACAGGGAACTATATTCAATATCCTATTATAAACTATAATGGAAAAGAATAAGTATGTATGTGTGTATAAAACTGAATCACGTTGCTGTACCGCAGAAATTAACACTGTAAATCAACTATACTTCAACAAAATAAATTTAAAAAATTTTTTAAAGATACACACTTCCAGTTGCAAAATTAATGAATCACAAGTATGAAATGTGCAGTCTAGGTAACACAGTCAATAATTAGACAATATCATTATATGGTGACAGATGTTAACTAGACTTATATCTTGATAATCATTTTGAAATATATAGAAATATTAAATCACTACATTGTGTAACAGGAAATACTATAATGTTGTAGCAAATTATACTTCAAAAATAAACAAACCAATAGAGCTAGAACAGATTTATGGTTACCAGAGGTGGGAAAGGGTGGGGAGGAGTGGGTGGAGAAACTGGATGAAGGCAGTCAAAAGGTACAAACTTTCAGTTATAAGATAAATTAAGTTCTAGGGAGGCAGTGTACAAGATGATAAATACAATTAAAACTGTGGTTGTTAAGAGAGTAAATTCTAAGTGTTCTCATCACAAGGAAGAAAAGTATTTTCTATTTCTTTAATTTTGTATCTACATGAGAAGATGAATATTCACCAAACTTACTGTAGTAATCATTTCATGATGCGTGTAAGACAAATCATCATGCTGTACTCCTTAGACTTACACAGTGTTTCACATCAATTATATCTCAAAACTGAAAAAAAAAATCTGATATTGAGCCAAAAAGGAAGGAAGGAAGGTAAGGAGGGAGGGAGAGAAGGAGGGAAGAAAGGAAGCCAACTCTACATAAACTCTTCCAGAAAACAGAAAAGGGAACACTTCTCAACTCACTCTA